ACAGAAGAAGAGATAGAATAGGTTTACAGTTTAAAGTGAATTCTATCCCTATACAACAACTAATTCTAACACTCCCCCTCAATCTAAACCTCATGAAGCTTTGCCAAGGTTAAGATTGTACTTGAACTCATCTAGCCGTCTCACGGTGAGTGGTTTTGTAAAGCCATCAGCAAGTTGATCTCCTGTGGGTATGAACCGAATGTCAAGTAGCTTTCGAGCTACTCTTTCTCTGACAAAGTGAAAATCAACTTCAATATGTTTGGTTCATGCATGGAAAACAGGATTAGCTGAAAGATAAGTGGCACAAATGTTATCACACCATAGCCTAGCAGCTTGTGGAGCTTTAATTCCAAGTTCATAAAGTAAAGTCTGTATCCACATTACTTCAGCTGTTGCATTAGCCAAAGCTTTATCCTCAGCCTCAGTGCTAGATCTTGAGACTGTAGCCTGTTTCCTTGCACTCCATGATACAAGGTTTGTTCCCAAAAACACAGCAAAACCACCTGTGGATCTTCTGTCATCAGGACAACCTGCCTAGTCTGCATCAGAGTATGCAGTAACAAGCATGGATGAAGACCTGGTAATATGAAGCCCAAGTCCCTCTGAAAACTTAAGATACCTCAAAATTCTCTTGACTGCAGTCCAATGAGTAGTTCTAGGTGCATGTAAATATTGACATACTTTGTTCACAGAGTAAGGAATGTCAGGCCGTGTAAGAGTCAAATATTGTAAAGCACCTACAACACTTCTGTAATTTGTTGCATCCTCTGGTCCAAGCACATCTCCACTTTCAACTGTAAGTTTTTCTGAGGTTGAGATTGGTGTACTCACAGGTTTACAATGCTCCAATCCCACTCTTCTGAGAATATCTGTAGTATACTTTTCCTGTGTGAGAAGTATGCCATCCTTTACCTGTTTAACCTTTATTCCAAGAAAATAGTGAAGATCACCTAGATCCTTAAGAGCAAACTCCAATTTCAGATCCTTAAGAAAACAAGTGGTGGCATCTGAACTTGAACTAGCAACAATTATATCATCAACATAAACAAGCACAAATATAGTGATATTGCCTTTTTTGTAAAAGAACAGAGATGTATCTGCTTTTGATGGTGTAAATCCAAGTTGTTGTAACTGCATGCTCAATCTTGAGTACCAAGCTCTAGGGGCCTGTTTCAACCCATATAAAGCTTTATCCAACTTACAGACATAATGTGGTGTGCTTTGGTTCTCATATCCCGGTGGTTGCCGCATGAACACTTCTTCCTTAAGAACACCATGAAGAAACGCGTTCTGAACGTCCAGCTGCCGTAGACTCCAACCTCTGGAAATAGCAATAGACAACACAAGCCGAATAGTAGCTGCCTTAACAACATGACTAAAGGTATCTTCATAATCAATGCCAAACCTTTGTTTAAATCCTTTAGCAACTAATCTAGCCTTGTACCTGTCTATACTGCCATCAGATTTTCTCTTGATCTTGTATACCCATTTACAATCTATAACATTATTTCCCTTCCTTGGTGGTACTAAGTGCCAAGTTTTGTTTTTCATGAGTGCATTGTATTCACTATCCATAGCCTCCTTCCATTCTTTATGATTAAGTGCATCATGCAAGTGGGTTGGTTCACCAAAACTATTGAGGAAAGCTCTTTTGACCCTGTCATACCTTACAGTACCATCAGTATATTCTTTTGCCTTGATAATACCTGACTGAGATCGTGTATGGCGTCGCGGAGCTGCTGTTGGTGAAGTTGGCACAGAAGATCCCAGTGCTACAGTCGCTATTGGTTGCGCCACAGAAGATCCTGCGAGGTCAGCTGCAACCGAGACAGCCGCAGGTTCCCGATCCGGCTCCTGACCCGAGACGGATCGCGATGCAGGCGTGCCAGGCATCCTGCTGTTGGCCCACGGGCTGGTGGCGCAAGGGGATTCGCCCCCGTTCACTCCTGACGAGGTGGGCTCAGCATCGAGCCCAACTGCATGCGGGCTGTCGGCCACCAGCACGGCTAAGACGATGGGCTCCACGCGGTCGGGCCTGTCAGCCGCCCCACCGCGATTGGCTGCATGCGGATGCCCGCGACCGTCCTTGGATCGCGCGGTGCTGGGGACAGCGGGACTAGCGCAGGGATCCGCCTCGGATCGGACGCCGCTGCCATCCAAATCTGCACCGCTGCCGCCTGAATCTGCATGAGATCCAGCGCCTTCTTTATCTGTTTCTGCATACATGAAATCATGACCCGAATATGCACAAATATCACTAGAATCCGAATTTTTTATGGAATTCTTCACAGGATCAGCTTTATATAATTCTCTCCCGTGATCTGGAAGAAGGGCTATTTCAGCACATAAGAGAGCTTCAGCATTTGGGTGAAGTTTGGCAAACGGAAAGAGAGTTTCATCAAAAACAACGTCTCTAGAGATGTAGATACGGCCAGTGGCAATCTCTAAGCATTTGTACCCTTTGTGGAGATTACTATAGCCAAGAAAAACACATTGGGTGGATCGAAACTCGAGCTTGTGGTGATTGTATGGACGCAAATTTGGGTAGCAAGCACACCCAAAATTTTTAAGAGCGTTATAGTCAGGTGTTTGATGATATAATCGCTCTAATGGAGTAGAATTACCAATGAATTTACTCGGAAGACGATTGATAAGATAGGTGGCTGCAATAAATGCTTCATCCCAATATTTGAGAGGCATGGAGGCATGTGCAAGGAGGGAAAGACCAACTTCAATAATGTGGCGATGTTTTTTCTCAGCAGAGCCATTTTGCTGATGAGCATAAGGGCAAGAGACATGATGTTCAATGCCTATGCTACGGAAAAAAGAGTTGAGCTTTTCATACTCCCCTCCCCAGTCACTTTGGACTGCCAAGATTTTCCTGTTAAAGTGCCTTTCAACAAGCTTTTGGAATTCTTGAAACACAGAAAAAACTTCAGATTTGTGCTTTAACAAGTAAATCCAAGTAAACTTGCTAAAATCATCAATGAAACTAACATAATATTTTTTTTCCAAAGGAATCTCTAGCATGACCCCATACATCACTGAAAATAAGCTCTAAAGGAGCATGAGACACACTGTTTGACCTAGGATAGGGGAGTTGATGACTCTTGGCACACTGACAAGCTTCACAAACAGACTCACTGGATTGGCTATATGACAAGGGCAAATTGCCTTTATTAACTACTTGCTTGACTATGACTGATGATGGGTGTCCTAATCTTTGATGCCACCGTGCCAAGGAGGGCTTGATGACAGAACAAGCATGACGACGTCTGTGATTGAAAACTCCGGATGAGATGGGGTAGAGCCCTCCAATGCATCTGTCGTGATGTAGAAGTTCCCTCGTTGCCCGATCCTTTATAAAAAAGTAGAGAGGATGAGTTTCAAAGAAGACATTATTATCGGTGGCTAAGCGAGACATAGAGGCAAGGTTTTTATCAGCTTGTGGAACATGAAGGACATCGTTTAGAACAAGATCACGTTTAAGAGTAGGAGAATTAATAAAAGCTTGACCGATGTGTTGAATATCCATACCTCCACCACTTGCAGTGTGAATCTGATCGTTGCCAAGGTATTTCTCCCAGAGGGTGAGTTGCTCTAGTTCACCAGTGACGTGGTCGGTTGCACCAGAGTCTACATACCACACGCCATCGCCCCCTTGCTCGTGCATAGCTGCAGCAACAAGACGTGCGTCGGGGACAAAATCTTCATCATACCTATGCCAGCAATCCACAACTTCATGTCCTGCCTTTTTGCAGAGTTGGCACCGAGGACGTCCCCGGGAAGAAGAGGAGCGGCGGCCGGAGTTGTTGTTGGAGCCGCCGCCTGCTGGTTTATTGGTGTAGTTGCTGGAGTTGTGGTAGCCGCCGCCACCAGAGCTGTTGTAGCCGCCATCTCCCTGAAAGTGGCCACGCCCACGCCCACCGGTGCGGGGCTGTCCCTGGTGACCGCGCCCACGGCCACGACCACGAGAGGCAGCATTGGCAGAGGATTGGCGAAGGTTGGTGCCGTGAAGAAGACTGAGGCGGGCATCAAAGCTCAGGAGTTGGCTGTAGAGCTCCTGAACCGTGACCGGTTCCACCCGAGCAGAAAGCGCCGAGACGACATGGAATATGTCCAGTCCGGCAAGAATTTTGGAGACGATCTCCGGATCGGAGAGCGCGGCGGCGGTGCAGGCAACTTCATCTGTAAGACTTTTAATTTTGCCAAGGTATTTAGCCATTGTCATATTACCTTTCTGAAGATTGGTCAGCTCGATGCAGGTATTTATGGCTTGAGCTTGACTCTGAGCAGCAAACATGGCATGGATGGCATGCTAAACTTCGGCCGGCGTCTGTAACGTGGCGACTTGTGCAAGAATATCGCGAGAAAGAGAGCCCATCAAATATCCTTGAAGTTGTTGTTGTTGTGCATACCAGAGGGTGTTTGCAAAGTATACCAGAGGGTGTTTGCAAAGTTGGCGATCTGCTCTTCTTTGCCGTCCTTGGTGATGGTGAGGGTGGGCGGCGGTGCCGGGCTCTTCGCGTCGAGATGATGCTCCATATGTGCCCCTTTGATCTGCGGCAGCACGACGGCCTTCCAGAGAAGAAAATTCCCCCTCGTCAGCTTCTCCTGTGGTGGTGATCCAAGGGATGCGGTGGTGGTGGTGGTGGTGGATGAGGAGGCGAAGGTGGAGGAGGAGGTGGTGGAAAGTGCACCCATGGTGCTGGGCGACATGGCGGCGGAGGTGGTAGACATGCTCTCCATGGAGGAAGGTAGCTAGATGCGTTTTTGTTGAGGAAGAGGCTCTGTTACCATGTCAAAATATTATGGGAAGCGTAGAACCCTTTGCTCGGGCCGCATTGCATTATATGGAACATATGCTGTGGCTTACAAGTTTTAGATCGAGGCTAGATCGACCGGTTTACAGAGATATACTCGGGAGAGATGGAAACAGAAGAAGAGATAGAATAGGTTTATAGTTTAAAGAGAATTCTATCCCTATACAACAACTAATTCTAACAAAGAGAAGTGAGAGAAGGTTGGTTGGCTACCATGAAGTTGGCAACTCCGTGAAGAACTTCATTCCCACAGATGACGATGCAGCCAAAATCGCCTTCGTCCTCCTTTGGCGACGCGACGATCACTTCCTTGTGAAGATTTTCTCCCATGACTTCCCGCAAGACAGCATCACACCTATTGATTTTCCAATGGTACACCGGCGCCGTCGGATCGATGTGTCTGATTGCGTCGAGCATGCTTTGAGTTCTTTTACCAGCAGATAGAAGACCCCTGCATATGTATACAGATCAACCATTGAGGTCAGTCAACATAAGAAATAAGCAACCAATCAGAGTAGATCAACCTTTGTGACCAGTAAAGATAGGCAGGAAGCAATCAACCAGACGGCTCGACGCTTACAATGTGAACAGTGAACCGCAGTTTTGATTCGACTCCTGGCATAAATCAAGTGGAGAACGGCCTGTATATGGCGATGAGCATCCTGAAACCTGCAGCTCGCGAACACAAATCTGAGAATTGGAGGATTTGATCAACACAAACAGCGCGTGAGATGACGGAACAACAAGTCGACGTACCTGAGCTCGTCCGTGACGTCCTCCTTGCCCTCGCCATCTCCACATGTCGAGCGCGCCGACCACGACTCTGCCTTGGAGACCAGTCGCGCCCGAGATGGAGCCCACGAGGAAGCGGGCGGGTGTGCCGAGGAGGGGGCGGAGCCCGAGCGCCCCGGCCCTGCAGCCGTGCCCCACCGTGTCGGCAACGGCATGGCACTCCGTGGAGAGACAGCGGCGTCCGTTATGGTTGGCCGCGAGTAGAGCTTGTGTGTGCCACGGACGACGGGAACTCGACGGGGACAGGGCCGAGCGCGGATCTTGCTCCCGCGAGGCCCACGGCATTGACGTCCTCCTCGCCGTGGCCCTCGCCACCTTCATCACCCAGGTCGAGTCGCACTCCCGTGGCGACGGAGGTGGAGCCACCGAGGAGCGGGGATAGCCCGAACCCGAGCGTCCAGGTCGTGCCCTGCCACGTCGGCGACGTTGTGGCACTCCTGGGAGAAACGAGGGTGTCCGCTGTGGCTGGCCGCTACGTCGGCGCGCTCCACGAACGGGAGCCCGGAGAGGACGGGTCCGAGCGCGGATCCTGCTCCCGCGTGGTCCACATGGCTGAAGCCCTCTTGCGTGGTCGAGCGCACGGATGACGACTCCGCGGGGGTTCCGTCGTGCCGGAGCCGCCGACCGCGCAGGTTGAGCCGGCGGGTACGCCGAAGAGCGGGCGGAGTCCGAGCGCCCCGGCCGTGTGGCTGTGCTCCGCCACGTTGGAAACGACGTGGCATGCGGTGTACACACGGCCCCTTCTGCTGTTGCTGGCGGTGACGGGGTCAGCGGTGTGACGACGGCGATAGGAATGGCGCGCCACTGCCTGAGTTCCATTGAGGAAGAGAGACGGGGGCGGCGAGGTTGGAGGGACTGGTTGCGTGTCCGCAGCCGGGATTTGGGGGCGCACAGCAGGGGAGATTTTATAGTGGCATACAAAGGCGAAGCGGTGACCGGTTGCAAAAGATCTTTCCAGAGCCAGACAAATCTAGAAGCAACCATCTAGAACCAATCGACGTACCCTAAAAAAAAAGAACCAATCAACGTGGTGCAAGGTCAATCAACGTGGCGTAAGAATAGAAAAGGAGCGAGTTCACCAGTAATGAAAATATCAACCACATGTGTCAAGTTAACAAGGGCTGTAAAAAAAATTCAGAATAAACCAGGTAAATCGAACCCTTACGGGCCTAGTCTTCTTAGTATACGTCCAGCAAGGGGCATCGTGTTTGTGCATATTCTCAACTAGGATGTTGTTAACTCTATAGAGGATATACACGATGTAGTTTTCAAACTTTATCGGGTGTAACCAATTTCTTTATTCACTCGAACAAGTTTCAAAATTGCAATGAGATTTCCAAAATTCAGCAATTTTGGTGGGTATCGAAAATTGTGCCTCAAACTTTAGACCGATTCTAAATGAAATTCATAGCAAAATGATTTTTTTTGGTAAAATAAGTAAATTAACTTAGACTTCTTTGATATAGTGCCGATGCAATCTTCAAATTTTCTAAATTTTGGATATTTCTGTGAGCTGTGGTTTTTTTTTTGTTATCTAAATTTGAACCTTGCTCGCGGATAGGGACCCACCTCAAATGAAACCTCATGTGAAAATCTCTGACTTCTCTCTATCTCTTTGCCAATCTCGGCAAAACCATTCATTTGTTCTCTGCGCAAGGTTGTTGGCATCCTATGCAAGCAAGGCGTTCAGGTTCAATGTAACACGAATCTAGGACACTAAAATTGACGTAATTGTAGCCTCTAGACACCTCGTGCCAAACGCTAAAAATATACAACTTGCCGTGCGTTGCTTTGTATCACGTCAAGAAATAAAAATAAAACTTTTTGGAGCAACCGTCCAATCTGCGGGGGAAAACCACCGGTAGCCAGTATCCGTGGTGCAGCTCACCATACGTCAGCACGTCCTGAACCCGGGTATATATGAACCCGCTTTACAAAAATGTATTTTAGACGCGTTTTGAAATGTCAAAATATTCAAAACAAAATTCCGTGCATACATGTTTGCAAAAAATATGTCGGTGGCACAAAGTTTTGTGTAAAAAGGTCTTTTAATTTTGTCTCCGCAAAAAAGACAAATTTTAGTGCTTCTAAATAGCGTTTCACGATACAATGTTTTGTCTTTTTTGCACAGGCAAGAAAAAGTTTTTTCCATGAAACTTTCTGACACACATAGAATATGGAGATGTCCGAATGCACTTTTTCCAGAAATTTTTGGCATTTCAAAATGTGTTCCCGAATATGGGTGTTCATATGTATCCGGGTTCATCCATGCACTTTTCTGCTCACCACCCCTTTCGATCAGTGTCTGATCTGGTAGAGCCTTGTGTTGACATCATATGACGCTACTTTTGCTTTAAGGTGGAAGTGCCGACATGTGCAATCGCGTCCGTCCGTTCATGGTCGTCGCATGTCAGAGGATGTGTTTGTAGTTTCTATCACTTTTGAGGTGGTTTGTACAGCAAGTGAAATTTCAATATAAAGTGGAGACCTTTTTGCAAAATGGAAAAGGTTGCAAAGTGAATTATCTCTCACACAGATAATTGGATATTCTCTCGTAGACTTATGGCAAAGACATCCGGGGTTGTCTCTATCCCTCGATATAGTAAGATAACAACCCGATGAAAATCATGGGACTTTGCTTGCCTCCGAAGCAAGCAACGGAGGTGTACAAACAGATATGCACAAATGCAGGGAGGGTTCGTGTGAACTCGCCTGTGCATTTTCACTGTTGTGAATAGCGTGTAAAGGAGAGAGGTCCAGGAGGAAAAAAAAACAACGATTACATGATTGGTGTAAGGAATCGATTACTTATAATCGAATCAGTGACCAGATATGGGTTTTCTTCCACCTTCATTTTGCAAGAGTTTTGTTGCCAAATGCGGCGCAACGTGGAGACATTTTAACTTCTCGTCAACCTATAACAGTTTGACTAAGTACATGATTAACATTAAAATGTAATCTTCAATTGTGCGTGATCCTCCTACCAAGTGGCATTGTGTGTGTGTGCGTATCCTAAACTAGGACTCTTAACTCTCTCGAGAATATATATAATGCAGTTTCACACTTTATTACGTGTAACCAATTTTTCTATTCACTCACACAAGGTTTAGACTTTTGATGAAATTCGATTAAATTTGGTGGCACAAAAAAATCTCCACCTCATATATCACATTAAATCGAAGTTAAATCCAAAGCAGAATTTTATTTAAATTCAGTGAAATTTCTTTGAAATAATTCAAAAACAGTTTTCTAATTTGGTAAAATCCAGATATTTTAGTGATGTCTAGAATATATGTATTTGTTACAGAAATTAAAAACCTTGGTTCCGAGTGGGGACCGCCTCAACTGCAAGTACGCGTGAGAATCTCTGCCCCCTCTCCCTTTGCCCACCTCGATTGGGTAGAATAGGAATGAGCCATTTCTCTATGTTTTTTTTGGCAAGGTTGTTGGCATCCAAGCTAGCAAGTAGGTGTTGCGGTTCAATGTTTACACGAATTTAGGCACTGGTGGACGGAAGTGTGGCATGTGGGCTGGGCACTCGTGCCAAACGCCGAAAATATGCAACCTCGCTTTTGGCAAGCCACCATGGAAGACGCAAGTTAATTAAAGTTTTTCACGTCACCTTTCATGAGCGTAAGCGCCAATCAGATCTTGCTCTGCACGCCAAATATATCTGCCATCACCATCCATCCCAACTTTCTTTTTGATCAACAAACACCACAACCCTCTCGAATCCGCAGAAATGATGGTGGGAAAAGGCCAGCATGCATGCATGCATGGGCCAATGTAATCCTACGGCGTTGGCGGAGAAAAATAGGTCGACGTGGCAGCATATGCCGTGGCAAGTGTAAATTAATCCAAACTGCCCCTCGTCTCCCGCACGGATAATTGGATATGCTTTTCTTGTAATCAACATACGGCTGAGACGGAGTTGGCGTTTCTAACTGGCTCTATCCCAAGATAAAATATATAAACCGCTAGTAGATAACAAATCGATCAATATTATGGGATTTATTCCGCGGCATGGATAATTATAGGGTTTCGCTTGCCACCGAAGCAACCGGACGTGCACAAATTACCCACAAATGCAGGGGAGGGTTCGAGCGAATTCCTCTCTGAATTTTCGCCCTTGTCAATTGCCTGCGAAAGCGAGAGATCCCGGAGGAAATTCCTTGGTGCCCCCCAAAGTCTCCGGTCTTGGGAGGTTGCACGCGTAGTTTTGCTAGATATATATTCCACCCGCCTCCCTAATCGATCGCTCTCACGCCAATAGTTTAGTCGAACCGAACACCGAAGACTTTGACCCCGCGATCGGCGATCCAACTGCCTCACCAGGTTTATTATCTCTATCTCCCCGCCCAGCAAGGCGCAAGCTCTTCCCACAGCTTTCCTCCTAGCCAGCTCCGCCCTCTCCTTCCTCCTCCTCCAGCCGAAAGCAGCAATGGTGAGGCTGGGGCCTCTCGCCGCGCAGCACTCGGGAGCGTTCGCCCGCGACCTGGGGCTGGGGAGCCCCGCGGCGCTCGTGGCCTTCGCGGTCGTCGCGACGGTGGCGGTGGCGGCCGTGGCGGCCTTCGGCTGCGCGAAGGGGGCCAAGAAGCCGCGCCGGCAGGACAACAACAACGTGTACTACTACGGCCAGGGGTACCCACCGCCGCCCCCCGCGGGCGCGTACGGCTACCCGGCGCAGCAGCCTCCCCCCGGCTACGCGTACCCGCCGCCGCCCGTCGACGCCGGGAGGAAGCAGGGAGGGCGCATGGGAGCCGGCGCGGGTCTCGCCCTCGGCGCAGGCGCCGGCCTGGCCACCGGCGTCATCGTCGGCTCGGCGCTCAGCTCCGGCTGCGGAGGCGGCTGCGGCGGCGGATGCGGTGGCGGCTGCGGCGGTTGACTTGATCGTACCACGACGTGCTTATCGGCTTGCGTTGGTGTGCGTAGTGGTTAGGCAGTTGGGGCTTTGATAATTGTATAGATACTGCTACTACTATACCGTCGCGTGTGATGATCGGCATCCCTCTATGTCCACTTGTTTAATTATTACTACGTGATGAGTATATTGTGAAAGCAGCATGTGATTTGGGGCGTGCATGCATGCCGTTCTTTTCCATGTAGTAACAAATGATGATCAAGAATTCAATATAGACATGGAAATGAAAATGCTGGTTTGATTGCGGGACAAGATATTGAGTTGAAAAGCTACACCTTCTGGTGCCTCCTACTCGTACACAAGAAAAAGTAGGGCTATTCGACGGTCTTTGATTTGCACCAAAAAGCCTAGTTAGTGGCGGGCACGAGTAGGAGGCAAAAGCCTAACGTTAATTGTCCGCCACCACCAGGTAGCACTATTTCAATTTCAACAGACGCAGCCATTTTTGCCGACATTGACAAGGCAGTGTGTTGCTACATGCACTGCACATTTGTACTCTTGTACAGTTCTTTCGATCCTGAGATAGCGGAGGCTTTTATCCTACGCACTGCTGTCTCTTTTGCACAAGACCAAGGGTTGACGTATGTGATTTTTGCCTCTGATTGTCTTTCCCTGATGCAAAGGATCAAGTCTGACGTCATCAAACAAACGGCCCTTGTGTTTGCGTCTTTCCCATTCAAACGTGTTGGTCGGCAATGTGATGTTGTGGCTCATGTTTTAGCCAAGTCTTGTAAAACTCTACTGCGCTTTGTATTTTACATTTTGCTCCGTAGTGTATCCGGCAGACTTTGTATGACCTTATTACTTAATCAATAAATGCCGACGTTCTAAAAAGAGGACAGTTGTTGCAATTTCAGGAGCTATGCATCGAAAGTACCCTACGGC